ATTCGTCACTACTATTGCAATACAGGTGAAGGATGTTTCAGAAAGCGTTGCCTATTCAGTGTAGTGCTCAAGAATGAGTTTAGCTCCTTCACTGAAGACAGACGGCTTCAATCACCTTTTTAACGTTTTGATGATTAAGAAGTAAAGAACAGCATCAAACACAGTTGAATCTTCAAGATTAATACAGCTGTATAGAATTCAATCACTTTGAATATATATCAGGAAATCAGCCTGACTACCCTACATCCTGAAAAAATGACGGCATATATAAAGCTGAAAAATTGCACAGAACTATCTTGCTTCTTTTTTTTTTTTTTTCTCAATTCTCCCTGAAGTCATTTCAAATGTTAATTTTCATCTGGAGGCTAAAACCAAGGCAGTAAAAGTTTCTTTGTGAAGATAGGTGTGGAGCTTCCACACTGCTGTGGTTCTGACAATTTTCTGCAACATAAAAACAAAAAACATGCCAAGGAAGTTAAGAGTATTATTATTCAAAGCAATATTTCTGCTTCAGATCCCTGAAAGGGAACTTTCAGTTTGAAAGAAAATGAATTTTTGTTTCTGAAAACCCTTATTAAAATGTTCACACAACATATACAGTTGTGTGTGGAAGAAAGACACATATTTTGCAGAAAAGAGAAGGAATATGAAAGGGGTTATTACAGTGGCAAGTTTATGCTGCTGTAGTGAAGACTGTAAACATTTCCATTGTAAATATTTATTTTCAGAAGTTTATAATTCACACCTAAAAAACTCCTCCTGACTGAAACTTGATGTCTGTCTCCATAATCAGCAATACGCAAAGTGAAACAGTTTAGCATCTGCTTTACAATTCGATATAGACAAAAAAGAGGTTGAAAGGCTAAACTGGGCTTTTAATTCTAAAGCTGCTTTATTTTCAAGAGTAACTTTTTACAGTCATTAGGATATGCTCTGAAGTACTTCCACAAAGCATCTTAGATTTGGTTCCTCTGCATGCTGCAGCAAGCAGAGACAATCTGACCCGTGAGGAGCATTCAAAAGTCAGAGATGCACAAATGAATGTACCTCATATATTAAGACATGCAGCTCGCATGTGAGTATCCGCTGTTTCACACACGATCGATCTGCTCGAAAACCAGCCGGGTGGAAATAGCAGTGAGCAGTGCTGTAGAACTATATTAACATTTGTTTGTCACTCATAATTTACAGTTGCTGGTGCAGTGGTGGAGGAAGCATTACAAAACCTTTGATAGAGACTTGCTAAAAGAAGCTAAGTCATAGCTCAGTTAACTACCTGAAATTCAAGGGATACAGAACAGGTAAATACAAAGAAGATTAATTTTTCCTGCTTACTAATCAGTGTGAGACATGCAAGACCAACAACAGTCATCCAATAATAAGAACATCCAGCAGTGTGTGTGAGAATAAGTACCATACAGATATTCAACCTAATGCTCTCACTAAAGGACCTGGTTAAAATTCGTTGATTACCTAACTCCTGGAAAAAAAACCAAACATCCTAGCTGCCAGCAAATTGAACAGATCATACAAGAGCTCGATATTCTGCTATAAAAGAATTTTAAAGAATTATATCCATGGGAACAAGGGATATATAAAACAAAGTAGCAAGTTTTAAATTCCACCAGCTTGCTGTTTCTGCATGACCCAATATGCTGGCTTATGACAACAGATTCTTTTTAATCATGGTGACTCAGGTGCGGATCCCATTTGTTGATGCCAATTACAGCAGATCACCAGAAGTCTTCATTAGCTGTAAATTTGGTCTACCACTCACATTATACAAGGAAAAATGATGTTAATTTTATAATTGAAATTGCACGCTCTGAATGTATTACTCCTAAAATGGAAGTAAAACCTTTTTTGATTATTAGTTGAGAAAGCCACCATTAGCTAAGTCTTTTAAAAAATGTTTCTCCTCCTAATTCAAATTAGCAGCAGGATGGTATGAATGCCAACATGGAAAGATACCAGTCTGTATGTCAAACTCTGGTTAGTATGGAAGACACTAACACTTAATAAACAGGTGATTATGCAACTCCCAGCTCTGTTAAAAGCAGACTGGTAGTCTATTACAAACTGATTAAATTTGCCACTTTTTCACTTCAAACAATTATATTTGCTCATTAACACTTGATGTGTTGAATGCAGCTGAAGAAGAACATAGGAAAATTAAATATCAATCATTCTAACTCCTTAGAGATTTAAAACTGACTCACGTAATGATATTTTCCTTCAAAGAACAATAGGCATGTGCACCTGTGCAAGTTGCGGTGGAGGAGAAAAGGGAGAATGGGAAAAGTTATTTAAAGACTGATGTAAAGTAGACATCAAGGGAATTAAGCATGCAGCTTAACTGTTGTGCTGCATTGATGTGTTTATACATATCTCTATGGAAGTGTGTTCTAAAACAGAGCATGAACGTTGTTGGCTATACTGCAAGCCGTGGCTCATGACAGGCTTACTCGTAAGGAAGACATACAGAGGCATAGTCTGTTTGACATGTGAAATGAACGCCTTTCCTTTCGTAGTTAATATAGAGCCTTAAAAGAGTTTTAGAGATTATTCCCAGTTACCTTATCACCTTTGCAAAACACGGAGATTGCATCTTACTGGAAGTGTTACTATTGTGCAAAGGCTTTGTCAGGAAGCTGGGATATTGGAGAATAACACTAGCTAGCCTTTACACAGCTGCATCTGTCAGGACATTGCAGAGAACTATAAAAAGCAGATGAGTATTTTTAACCCTATTCTGCAGATGGGAAAGCTGAGACAAGAGGAAGGAAAAAAACCCCAACTTTCTCATGATTCTTCATCAGGCCAGGGACAGAGCCAGAGAGAATACATAAACCTCTTAAGAGCAGTGCTCTTCATTCCTCCAAAATGGAGATACAAATCTGCTTCCCAACTGGGCTTAAAAAATAAGATGTTAAAGATGTAATCTGCCAAAACCCTCACAGTTAGGTGACTTTGAATTTGCTGTAAATTTTATGCCCATTTTTAAATGAATTTTGTATCCTTCAGCGAGTCAGTTTCTGACTCACGGCACCGTGGGAGGGGTCAGGCATCCCTGTGTGCACTCAGCTGCACCTACACAGAAGAAACTGATGGGCTGGGCCCCAAAGAATCACAGCTGAAACACTCATATATCCTTTACATCTTGGAAGCAGACTTCTTTCTACTCCTCTTATTCTCGTTCTTGACTAGGTATTCTTGACACCATCTCAGGAAAAAAGTGTGGCAAAGAAACTGTTGGGACTTGCTGGTGGATCTGGTATATAGACTTTCAGTACATTATTCATACATTATTACTTACTGGGCTTTAAAAGCTGAAAGTACAAAACCCTCAAGCTTGATATTTGCTATTCAAGTATTACGATGAGTGATAAAGCTGCATTTAAACTTGTTTCAGATAGGGATCTCATATGTCTATCAGAAAGCTATCAGGGAGATCTGGTGAACCTCCTAATGAAAACAACTGTATTAAAAACTGCAAGTAAAATGCCAACTGCGTATCTTTCATTTTAGGATTCAATTAAAGGTGAAAAACAATAGCATTGTCATCTAAAGGTTAAATGGAACAATCCATTTCTTCTCAGAAGAGGAGGGTGTAAAAGCCCAAAGCAAATTAACCGAATGCTGCATTTTTGTCCTAGTTTTCCTATCTGGCTCATCTGTAGAAAGCCTGTGGAGTGAGGGATGTGGTGGGTAGGTAGCAGAAGTGGAAGAAGAAGCACATTTAAATGGCTCATATTCTAATATCACAAACTCTAATTCTGGTCTAAAAGTGTAATACTGACAGTAGTGAGGCAGTTCTAGAAATAAGATCTGAGTCCTGCCCCACTGTCATCTAACACAAAGTAGCACCTCACTTGGGACTGTGGAGAGCCAAAGTACAGAAAGGTAGAGATACAAAAGCTACCACTGGTAGAAATGGGGACTGGAAACTGCAGACTCTGGGTTACTTAGGGGAAAACAAATTGCGGTAAGGCCTCTTATTTGATATGGCCAACTTTTTCTCTGCTTTGATAAAAATTCATTAAAAAAGTATACATCGCGTCTAAATCCAGCACATGGTAATATTATTCTGAGTATATTATACTTAGTACTCCAGCTGGCTCTCTTAAAAGGTTGGGCATGTGTTGAAATAACATATGTGGGTATAGGTCAGCTTCTTCAGATCCATGGGCAAATGCAGGAAGCTCTGTCACAGAATATCCATTACAGAGAAGATTCCCTCCAAGCGGTGGAGGGACTATCAAATTTTCACATGTATGCTATTCAAACATAGGCAGGAGATTGGCATATTGTTCAATATTATGATTAAGCAGTCACAGAAGACTCATCTTTCCCACCTGTTCCAGCTCTGAACTTGACCAAAAAATAAGTAAGAACTGCATCAGAATGGGCAAATTATGTCTTTGAAGACAAGTACAAATGGAAAATTAATTTGCGTTTTGACAAAGGAATAGGTTCTTGTTCACAAGTAAGCTTTTAAATGATGGCCTTTAAAATTGTCTCTCTAGATCCCTTTGAAGAATCCCCCTGCAAGTGTAATATGTCTTTGGGTCCTCTACTAAAATTTCCTAACTTAAAAGTGTTTCGTATTTTAAGAACCTTACACCTAGTTATCATTGGTCAATTAAGAGAACGTACATTTTCATGACTTTGTTGTCTCTCCAAAAAGTTTACTGAATATTTCTACCATGACTGATTTCGCTTTTCATGGGTAACAACATATTGAGTAACTTCTGCCAAAAAGGATATATTTTGCTTTTCTACTCAAAACCTATTTGAACACAAAGGTAAAGGACTGCTTACTTGACATACCTGAAAATTAGATAATAATTCAAATTTGCTCACTTCTACTAAAGTGATTGAGCCTACTCTGTCCTGGATACTGACTGTGGCAAGAATGCGTATTAGAGAGTATAAACTGCAATCCACGTAACAAAACCTCTTAGCCTCACATAACCAAAAAGAAAGGGTGATAAACTTACCTTGTGTAGCAATGTAGTGATTTGGTCTATGATAACCCTAAAACAAATTGAAAAAAAAAAAAATAAGCAATATGCACCTGGACAATGTTGCTATTAGTGAAACCTCATTTAGAGTAGTATTCAGTCCAAATCACAACAGTACAGATAATGTATTAGATGCAAAAGTTCTTTCCAGTGGGGGAAGGACAAGGGAGAAGGGGAACAAGAAGCAAATGTGTTTTCTGGAAGATACTTAAGTTGCAGCCTTGTACATTAGGGGACAGAAGTAATATGTTCTTTCAGTCCCTTGTTGGCTCTGCTGAAAATGAACAGCATGAAATCCTCTCTAGCACTTGCAGCTAATGGCATCAGATGCTCATGGAGGCTGAGATGTAGCTCCAAGCTATTGCTATTGAGTGCAAAGCCTATCCCTTTTTTAACAGCTAAAGAATGCCAGATTTGCATTCAGCCTGGGGAAGGGTGGGGGGATGTTCACTCTGTCCACTGTGATTTGTTTAGGTTTTACTTCTGAACAGTAAAAAGGAGAGTAAATTCTTTGACTAAATGGTTTGGCATGAATACACTTGTTCACATCGAAATAGGAAGAACACAAAACAATTCTATGTTTCTCTGATGACAAGAGCAACTTAATCACAAGCTGCCTGTGCAATAAAGACTAATACTCTATGGATTCTTTGCAACATTGAATGTGTTGCCAACAGGGAATAATACTGTTTTTATAGTATTTGAGCTTCTGATGTGATGGGAGTGTCATCAAGGGTTTAGATCAAGCACTAGTATGTTGATAAATTCAGTTATACCAGTGTTGATATTTTAATAGCGTTTTCAGTCATCTACAGGAAGAACTTAAAGCTGCAGCTTGCATGCCACTGCAATTTCTTTGTGGAAGAACAAGGGGCATGGTAGTGATGCAAGGTGGGAAAGACTCAAAACAATTGAAGATACCTTGAATATTACAGAAAGAATACCATGAATTACAGAATTGATTCCTTTACATGCCATTGAAGTAAAATCTGGAAGTCTATGAACTGAGGAGTGTTCAGATAGCTATGGAGTTGCTGTTTTTCTGCTGTGTGTTATCTAATATCCCCACTGGCTGGGATCAAATGATTCTGTTTCCCAGTGAAAAAACGCATGGGAAAAAATACAGCATAACCATTGCCTCTCTCTCTTTTATCCAAGAAAATTTCATAGTGTCTGTGACGGTGCCATTCCCTTATTAATATGTTTATTCTGACAACATGATGACTGTACTAATAATGGCATGCAAGAGTAAAACTACAGCTGCTTCTGTAGTTTAAAACCAAGCATTTCTAATGGAAACCTGACTAATGAGATTGTAAACAAAAAATGCTGTGTTTTGTGGTAGAGTTGTCTTTGGAAGATGTCTGCAGCATGAGGGAGAGAATTTTTTCTCTCACCCATCATTTCTCACCCATTGCTTCTTTTAGAGCCACATTCTCTCCATTCTCTTGCATTTCCATAAGCAAAAAAGGTTGCTATGCAGCTATCTTATCAGCATTTTAAATGAGACTGTATGGTCCAAATCCTTATTCCTCACAAGAGGCTTTTAATATTTAGAGTCATCTCTAAATCCACCACAAGAACATACCAGTAGTCTAAAATGAGAACAATCCTGAATGTTGGAGAAGGTGTGACAGTGAATGCAAATCTAGGTCCCCAACTCTTTCCTTTCATGACAGATTACTCCCTTCAGAGTTTAGTGAGACATCTAACTAAACATATTTCCATATGTGCCTTTACCTCTTGGTGACTGTGCTATTCTTTCAAACAGCAAGGGACTGAACAGAAATCTGAGCTTAACTTAATGGTTCTTGAACATGCTAATAAACAACAATAGAAGGAGGTATCTTCAGAAAGTTACAACTTCAGATTGTTAAAACTGAAGTACCTGCTTTTCTTGTATCACTCTAGTTGCTTCAAACTCTTAGAAAAACATCTGTTACATTCCTGTTTCATATTAGTGATAAAATTTGAACTGCAGACTGTGACACCGTTTTTCAAAGATGCCACTGCTGAACAAGAAATCTGTAGCAGACACAGTTTCCTATGAAGCAACACTTGTTTTACTTAGTCTAACATCTAGCACTTCATGTAAATAATAAAATTATTATCTTTGCTATCCATAGATTTCTGGCTCTAGATAGTATTGACTTTCTAATGATTTTCAATTCTACTTTTGAGTTCATTCTTTCAACCCAAAACACCTTGTCTCTTAAAGAATTTATTCTAATGTAAAACATTAAGTTAACATGATGCAGAATGAACAAAGAAGCCACCTTCAATAATTAAACAGCCTACATATTTAATGAAATGTCTTGCTTGCATTAGAAGTACTGGTTAACAGCTGCAGAATATACTTTGAAGGCGACTTAAAAGTGCAGAGATGACAAGAGATTGCAAATCTCTGCATTAGGCATTACAGAGTTTTGTCACATTAATATGCAAACAGCTTTCTTTTAAATGTGGAATGATGCCAAGCTGTTGACAGAAAGTGAAAATAACATTTTGTTAGCCTATATAAGCACCAGCAGGCAAAGTAGCCATACAGTGTTGCTGGCAAGGTTTCAGTCTAGTGGCAGTTTGAGGAAACGACTCCTTTCATTTGCTTATTGACAAAACCTTTGAGGCTTTTTTTTCCCTTTAGTGTACACCTCGCTTCCAAAGATAGTACTTTCCAACAATGTTTAGCAGCTGATATTAGCTGTGATATCTATTACAAATTATGAATAACGTGCGAATAATAAGAGCTGCCTCTTTGACTGAACACAACATTAAGTTTGTTGACTACATCAGTATACGCACATCAATATAATTTCCATTGATGTAATCGGAACTTGTTTCTCCTTCAATGGGCTGCAATCTCACTCGAGAATGATCATCTGAAACGGGAACAATGGAGAGGAAAAAAGTAATTAAAGTCACATTCAGTAACAAAACCTTCATCAAAATACTATTTAAAGTCAAACTAAAACCTCAGTATTTGCCAGTTCATGCTTGTTTTGTTGTCCATGAAAATACTGTATCTACATTTAATCCTCATTTCAGTCATTCATAAGGCTTTCCAAACCCCCTCTGATTTTCATTTTGAATGTCTTAAATATTTCTAATGTGAAATCCACTGCAATTATGGTTTTTTTTGCCTTGACACTCCCCCTCTCCTTTTGTCAATAAAATAAACAACATTAAGTTTTCAAAGGTTTAGTCATTTGGAAATGCCTCTGCCAGTAGTCAAAATAAGCTGAAGTCATTCTACAAGACATACTGCCACCTCACAGCTTCTCAAGGAAGGGAGAAAGCAAAACTATGTAATAACAAAACCAAAGCAGTCAGTTAATGGCTTTGTTACTGAATTTTGCTGCACTGTGGCCATCTATATCTATCCAGGAATGTGCAAACACTTCCAACTCTATTTTCCAATTTCCAATCCAAAACACCATGGCATGAATTTGTTTCTTGTCAGCTGCCTCATTTTCTTTATGATACCACAGCAGTGATTAAAAAGTGCTAGAGGCTAGAACCTCCCCCCAAAACAATATCTATATGCTGGCAGGGGGCTTTTTCTTCTTTGAGACTTCATATGCTCCTCTGGATTCTCTTGGTTCAAAAGCAACCAAACACAATGGCTTTTCCAGAATGCTGCACAAGTTGTTGATAAAACAATTTGAGGGTATGATCTCAAGGATGGAGAGATGGTAAATAAAATAGCCACTTTACTGCTGCTTTGTTTACAAGTTACTCTTGCTAATGAGATACCTGTGTATTATTGTTTTTGAATGCTGCTTGATAGTTGAGCTAATATTACTTGAAGATAATGACAGACCTTCATGACTGTCATTTTGTTGTACATGAAACTTGCCACCCATGTTCCGAATAGCTACTTTTTTCAACTTTAAAAATCCGAAGAGATAGCAAATGAATGAAAGAACATGAAGTGGCTTAAAACCCCAACGTCATTATAAGGAGCATAATACTCGCTCACATTATTGGGGAGGAAAGAGAGGGCAAGTGATTCTTAAAATAGCATTGTTTTAGCATTACAAGTCAAGAGGTTTTCAAATGGCTGAGCAGGAAAGAAAGAGGCAAATTCTTTATTTCATCTTCTTTTAAGCTCCAAGTCACAGGGACTACAGATCTCAGAGCCTCATTTGTTTCCCTGGGATTCCCCTCGGAGAGAAAGGGCACAGTTGTAAACCAAATATAGTAAATCAGAATGAATTAAAATTCCAGGTCTAGGTTCCACACAGCTCTTATTTTGCTATTTTCTTGTGATTATTTCACCCAATAGCCTTCAGGAATGAGTTTTTCCAAATATGTTGGAATATTTAAATCAACTATGTTAATAAGGTCATCCTTTTCAGTCTCTTGATTCACTTTTCCAAGACTAAAAAATTATAGTGATGTGACTCTCCACTACATAACTCATACTGGTCTGACCCTACCAAGCTACGCTCAACCAAGTGCTGTGCTATTCTCTGCTTAATGAAACTATTTATTAGTTTCTTCAGAACAGAGGTTTGGCTCACAGGCTCTTAATCCTAAAAAATCCATCTTAAGAAAGATACTACATTAGGAACTTTTTAAGCTCCAGACATGGTTGCTGCTTTTAAAGTTTTGGGGCCTGATCCAACTTCTGCTGAACTCAGCAGACTTCAGAAGTCAAGCTTGCTTGGACTCATGGTATGTCTTCATCCACATTTTCATGATTTCCTGCATCATTGCCTTAAAAGCGTTCTCACCAGGACAACTCGGGCTAGTAAAGATCTCCGCTTTTATATTTCTTGAATTACTTAGGGCAGAATTCAGTTGTCTAAGCACAAGCATCCCATGCAACTTTATATACCCTGGGATATTCTGCCTAGCTTTCACCCGCCACTACAGAATAACACAAATCTCTCGTTTAGTGTGTCACATTTGTTGGTCCTGCACAAATGTCCTAGGTCACCTGAAATGGCATTACATGCCTACGTTTAGGCAACTGAATCCTGTCTTTGACGACTTGCACACCAGTGAGTTCCATACTGGGCAAACCAAGCTTAAATTTCCCATTAAGTAACATCTTAAAAATATAACTTCCTGTTATTTCTTTTAGAATGATCTATACAATTGAATAATATGCAGTGGTATCTTTTCTTTATTTTTCTTGTTATTTTATTTTCTTATTTTCCTCCATTCTTTCCTTGCAATAATTTTTTGCTTTGGATTGGGCAAAACTAGATAAGTTACTGCATAAATATATCCTCATATCAACTTTTTGCCCTGTTTTCTTCTCACATGCATCCTTTCTAGTACTGCATTCTCAGCTAAGTTTCTGGGAATTCTGGAGGTAATGGACTGTTCAATACCCATTCATTTGCAGTGGAGCTGGAGTGACTTCCTTCTTTTATTGCTTTGAAAACTCTAGTTAACCCTTTGCTGCATGGCAACACTTCTTAATTTGAAAAAATTCTTTAGTCAACAAAAAGAAATGTTACTGTGTCTATGCCTGCACTTATGTGAAGTAGATTTAAACCTAAGAGGTACACAAGCTATATATTCTTCCAATATGTATGTTGATTCTTAAATAGCCTCTAGATAAACTATCTAGATTTTTAGGGTAATTTTTGTCCTTTATAATTCAGCTGCTCTTGACAATTTTTCTAGCTTTTAAATACTCTCTTTTCCAGCTCATTGTTATTTCGATACCCCTCTATTAGGAGATCAAATTTAACTTTGCACTGATCACTTAAGCTTTCGGAATGAGTTATGTTAGAATCCATTTGTCTTTGTAGAAAATGGTAATAGATAATGAATATAAGCATTTTATTCTTGCTCCCCTCACGTTACCTACAACATGTATATGCCAGCCTGCAGACTGTGATCTCTAACAAGCCCCTTGAGTAGCTGTTTGATTAGCATGCCTAGCCAATGACCCTTTCTTGGGACGTGCCTTGCCGATTCTTTGCAACTCAAGCCTTTTACAAATGTCTCACCTAAAATCTTTAGCAGCTTTTAAAAGCTGTGATCAATATTCTCCTCTCATTTAGTCAATATTGAGTTAGGTAAAAATAAACACAGAACCCCTCCTATTCTGAAGTTACCTCAAGATCTCTCCTGAGGAAAACCCCATAGATTTTACCAAAATCCATGCATAACCCTATGCAATTAAGGCAGAAAAGGATCTTTTCTTAGGTAAAAAGAGATTCATTTAGCAGATTCACGTATGTGTTAGTTCCTAATGAGAAAACACAAAAAAAAGCTTTTTGTGTTCAGTAAAGAAGGAGCATGTTTCCTATGAGTGACTAGACTGTGATCAAGATTCAGCTTGCTGATGTTGTAGCCACTTTCATACAGTGGGTAGGGCACGCTTGTAGAAAATTAAACGCACATCACTTGGGTAATGTAAAGCATATTGCCATTTTGACAAGCTCCTGCAATGCTGGCCGCTTGGTGCTATTGTTTTAGTTCCCTCAGAGAACAATAATGACTACAAGCAATAATGTAACAGTAGTATCTTGGGGAAAATTTAAACAAAGAGGATAAATAGATGGAAAAAACCCTACATTAAATGCTTTGGAGAAAAAATATACTTTTCATTATAACCATGTGCCCATAGTCAGTGGCATCTGAACCATCGTATTTTTAAGTCTTTAAACATAGCATAAAAGGGCAATTCAGTAATATGCTTTTCAGCTAAAGCAAATACTTTATACAACTATTTGGGGAAAAGTTTCAAAAGTAAACTGCTAAAACTGTACTCTCAGACTCTGAGACAAGTGATCATTTATCCAGCAGAAAAACACATCAAATAATTAAACAGCTAACTACCCCATTTGCATACATGTATTTAACAGATGACAAACTGTGGGCAGTTTCAGCCTCTCTTTTAAGATACTGCCTTTAACTCTGATGGATTTTAATTTTAACTTGTGTTATCTGTGTTTTCACAGCCACATAAATAGGAAGTGTTATTGATAACAACTCCATCCAACTCTTTCCCTTTGCTAAATACTGAGGACATTAAAAGTAAATTGAGATCTAAATGATCTGAGTTATATTTGCCCTCTCAGAAAGCCTTCAGTATCACTTGTAATTGCCATTGATTTGTGTATCTAATATCTTTTACTTGTTTTCCCTTGGCTAGTCATCACTTCATTACCTCAGACATACGGCACTAGTAGTCTTTTGTTTTCTTCAACTAAAGGGTGTCAAAGTGTAAGGCGGTGCCTAATATGACATTAAAGAGGGGACTGACAACACTAAACCTGACGAAAAGAGAAGATCTATTGTCATAGGCTTGGATTGGAAATAAAATTTCATAAAGGAAGGATAAACATAAAACTTTTTGGCATTCTTATTTATGCCTTCAGTATTTTTACTTAAATGATATTAGTCATCTAATGTATTCCTCCATCCTCACAAAATAACAAGTATGTTACACATTAAAGATTGCTTGGAGGGAAACAAGCAAAACCACATCTAGCTGACTTATCTTCTTTTGCATATGCTCCAGCCCATCATGATATTCGCATTTTCCTAGAAGATTTAATTTCCTTTTTCAGTAAGTAGCACAGTATACACACAAACTACACAGCAATACTATCACGTCCATTCAAAATGATGTGGCAGATAGCATCTCTTGCTTAACTTGCCTCTGCCTCCACAAGCATTTCCTGTGGGCTCTCCTTCTCCTTCTGCAGCAAGTTACAGAGCTGTTTTCTCTTTGTAGACTGTCTCAGCCCAGCTGGGCCACAGTGATATAAGGGCCTAGTCATACCACCTACTGTAGGTCACTAAGTTAGAAGTTGGTCTCTCTAGACTCATCATGCAAGCACAGCAGAGAGGACCTCCTGAGGTGGGTATTCAGAAGTATTCAAATGGGTTCTGTTTCTGAAGCATTTCCCTAGAAGAGCTGTCCTTCTCTCTGTCAAGTCCATGTGGCTCACTGATGAGGAAACCTAGGTAGATCTGTGCCCAGACAAGCACGTAGACAAGGTGCTGAAGTTAGGCAGTGTAAATATGCACAACATACCCCTTCCACAGGTCTTCCAAATGTTCAGACAATTAGCACTGTTTATTCTTCTACGCTGTGCCCTGTACCTAGGGTTATCTGTGATTTCTAAACTCCAGCAGTATCATTAAATGATCCCTTCTTAAAGGCCATCGTTCATTTTCATGCTTACAAAACTTCTGACATGCTGTGACTGTTGCTTATTTCTCTGCTTATACCTGCTTCATGGTTATTTGTCTGGGAGAAACACGTATACTTCATATCTTAAACTTAGATTGGGAAGGAACAATCAGGGAAGGGATCATCACCTACATACACACTGGGAACTTGCCCTTTAAGTGCAACAACATCAGTGTGCAAATAATATAATTTTACTGAACTTGATGTATTTTCTGCCCCCATTTCATGTGCAGCATCTCTTGCCGCCACATTTTTGCAATCTCATAATCCCAGATTTAGGGGTCATTCACCAAAGCATGCTATCATCTCCTCAAGTTATTATATTATTAGTACATCTAATCTTTATCAAGCTTGGCATTTGTAAGTAAAATATAAAGATTCTGTTTTTTTCCTTAGGGTCTGTCTAGCATTAAGAGGGTAAGTCAGGATAGCTGTCACTGTTATTATGGAATATTTAAGCAGCAGTATTGTCCACTCCTACAGTATCCAGAACCCAATATCAAGGTACTGATGTGATCATGGGAACTCTCTCACTAAGCTGGCAGGAGCAGTTTGGGAGCTGTTAAGAACTGAGTATTGGTTAAAGGTGTCATCCTCCATTAGCCAGACGTTGATCACAGCATGGAAGGTATACAAAGGCTAGTTGAGAAATGCATTAAATCTGACAGTTTTCTCAAAAAAAAAAAGAAAAAAAAAAAGAGTAACATCTTCCCTCACTTTTATCTTCTTAATTAGAGAAGAGGAATATAAGGCTGATGTGAGCATGAGGCTGGTGGTCATTCTTATCCAATTCTGAAGGGAAGTTAACACAGTGCACAATTACGTTGTCAACACTTACATGCAATGATATTCCCGTATCTATTTTTCATTCTGTTCTCATCTTTCTTAGCTGAATCCCATGGTGCAGACTGTCCTTCAAAGAAACTCTAAAAAAGGAAAGAAAGCGACATTAAGAAAAGCATGCAGCAACAATTACCTTACAGATAAACCAAAGAGAAAGGCAAACGGTACTTGCAGGTATTGTTGTTAAAGTGTCATTTAACCAATTCTTTTACAGAGCAAAAATATGAGTCTCCTCTTTAAATGGTATGTATGCATAGCTCCAGATGTTATCTAAAATTTGACACAAGATTATTTGTATAATACCAAGAAGAATTATTTGCATGTGAGGTGCTACTAAACCTTTCCAAAGCTGCATGCTTGCAACACTGAGTCTTTCATTTGTGCTATCGAGATTCTCTGCATAGTTCTCATACGCACACATGAAGCTGAAGGAGCTTCATCATCAATGTTGGAGTTGCTCCAGTATTTGAGAACACAATTACACACTGTACTAACACATTTTATTTTTGACATATCCACAAGCTTCAGTTACTTCTTGGCAGACGACCTCCTGGATCTAAACATATAGGCATTTAAAAGAATTTGGATTCAACTAGCATGCATCTTTTTCTATAAACACAATTTATGATAGCACCAAGATGATTATTTTGTCAGAGGGAAAAAAAAATGATTTTGTGAAAGATATAATCTAATATTCACCCAAGCTCTGTGCTGTACTTAATAAATGTATAGTAAATAAGAAAGTTGAAGGTGCTAAAATATATTTTTACATTAATAAAACACATACGCTGCCAAAAAGGCAGTAAGCAAGTTGTTAGGTCCTATCTGTCCTATGCATTCTGTGGTCTAAAAGAGCATTTGCACAATTTCTTAATTTATGCACCGTATCTGTAAGCCATATAATGTAGATGAATTTCATCATATTGAAATATTAATCTTGCCATAAACCCCAGTGGAATTCTACTAGAACAGTGGCCAGTCTTAACTGATGTTTTGATCTTTTTACTAGAATGATCAGTAGGTTAAATCTCTTGATTTAAGAGGGACATAAACACACACGATTTACTTTTCTGGCAACAGAAGCCAAAAATGGCTAAGTCCCAAACTAAACAGGGAAAACCTCAGGAAATTTGTGTCTCTTGCAAGACCTCAACACATTCTGAGTGGTTTAAAATAGACAATGCCCATTAAATGGACTATCATTAGTGTCTTTTGCCCTCATAGTTGAAATGCATTGTTGTTCAAATCTCAATGATTTCCATTAGTAAAGAGCATAACAGTCAAAATAAACCCTTGATCTCTTGCTGAAGTCAATGGAACACAGGGGCATGCAGTGTCTAAAATGAGCTTTTCGTAAGTTCACTAGAGTGCTGTTTTCCAACCTATGATACGGAAACTCCGGGGAATCCATGGATTATTTCTAAAAAGTTTGTAAATAATAACTTAAGAAAAACAGAAGCCTTGCCGAAAGGCTTCAATTTGTTTGTCCTTCATCTCTCCACTCTTCCTTAGAAAATGTTTAAAGGTTTGCAAATTGAAATGATTAAAATCCACTAATATAAATAAGTTTCTCCTTAATCATGGGGTACCATCATTGGGTACAGCTCTGAGAAATGTAGATTCCTGCCAGGATAGAGAAGTGGAACCCTGCAAATCCTAAGATCATTTACAGCTTTGTGGCTGTTTGCCGAAAAGGCGCCAATCATTATCTGATTATATATCTGCTAACCATGTCTAAAGCAAGCAAGCCCTCCCACTCCAGAGCGCTCTCAACTGGATGGAAAGTACTTTTATAATAAACCAGATGGAACTGCATAAGGAATTACTCTCCACGGGCAAAGACCTATGTCTCAATATCTTGCAAAGTTCACACTTACTCTCAGTAAGAAGTGGATCATCACTGGATGATGAACAATTAAACACAGTTAAAAGCAAAACAGAGATGGAAATGTTCAGCAACAAAGCTCCAAAAGCAGAACAAACTAATCCTTCATCCAATCTAAAACTTGACCCATTATCTTCCCCAGGATTTTGCATTTCAGTCAGCTAGATAGACTACAGAGAATTCTAGTTTTCTTACAGTCCTTCTGCTAGAGACTAGTTCACAGAATTGATCCATAAGATATTACCCAGCAAGTGGTTTTGGGTTTAATTCACTAAGCATCACACGTGCTGTTACAGAGACAGTCCTGCTGATACACCTTCCAAGCTTACACCTTGAAATATGGAGGATGCAAATATACTCCTAGGGAATTCTCGCTTCTCCCTGTCCTGCTAATGAACTTTTAAAAAATTGCTTTAAACCGATCTATTAAAGTAAATCTCTGGAGACAACTGGGAAAGATTTGCACAGTACTGAATTCAGGGAAGATATACAATAGGCAATGTACTGGTTTGGGCAGCTCATCTGCTTCTCATCTCTTAATGCATGGGTTCAATTTCTCACACCTGTTTGGAACTTCTGAAAACAATGATAAGCTTAATGAACCTTACAGATAAAATAGCTCCTAATAATATATCTGCAACATAGATAATTCTGTTCTTTAGAATACATATATCTCAAACCTCACCCAATAACAAAAACCAGGAGACAGATTTACATTTGCAGCTACTGTATATGGACTTCATTTTCCTTATTAAAAATGTATTATAGAAAAAGAACTCCAGATATATATTTTTCTTTGGGGTTTTATCAATAGATTAGTGAATGAAATAAAACCTATCACATAGGGAAAATAGATGTAATTTATGTAGATCCATTTTTCCTTTTAATTCATTTTAGGATACACACAGGCATTTCAGTTAGAAATGTACAGAAAAGATAATTTGAAGGAAGGGGTATTACAGTGGAAAAGCATAAAAAGAAACAGTTATTGTAAAAGACAGCTGGAGTGTCATTTCCAAAATTCCCCATGTGCTGCCATTACACAAACCACAGCAGAACGATAATCCACAATGAATTTATAAGGAGAAATCCCATTTGTCCCACAAGGAAGGAACAGAGCAGATACCTCATAACAGATGATCTGTCAAGATCTTTCCTTACTTGTGAGAAATACATGTTTCATTACAGAATTTTTTTTAATGTCTTTCCTGACACATCACTCTCCAGGGAGACTGCTGCACAGCAGCCCACACATTATCTTAGTGGCTATTCGTTCTAACTCATCCTTAAATGTTTCTTAAAAATATGGACTATTAGGAAGAAATATGCCCCCAAACAGCTTCATTCTACTAAGTGTCTGGCAAGGGCAATGGAGAACCGAAAATGAGGCTAGGGCATTTCTCAAATCATTTAAAGTAAGTATTTCTTTAACTCAAATCACACAAAACCTTGGCTGCCCAGCCCCCATGTTCTACTTGAAAAACGAAACACTTTTCAAGCCAGCTGTTGTTACAGCAGACAGTATGTGATGTCAACTGTCATCCTGTTATTAGAAAATATTTCAATAATCAGGATAAAACAGTTTCTGAAAAAACCTGAATTATACAGAACTGCTGTAGATGCAACACGAGAATTGGTCAGTGTTGCAGCAGCAGGATCATCTTAGGATGAATGTGAAGCTTTTGCTTGCTTTAACTCAATGCTGCAGTGGTTTCCATTAAAAATTAAGTATTTGCCAAGGGCTAATTCACTGTGACCCTCAGACTAGAAAATAACTGCAATATCTCAAATGAGAGGGGGAGATAATCATTGCAAATACAGATTTTTTAAATTATTCCCTTTCCTCATTTAAAATTCATAAGATCAGAAAATAGTGGAAGGGACCTATATAAAAGTACAGTTTGAAGAGGCTGGAAGGTGGAGAATAGGGTGAGATCTTCAGGATGCAATTTGTACCTCTGTCATTTTTGGCAACACACTTTCCATCCTACGTTTTCATGCTTCCAATTAAGGATAGTAAAAATAATGCATCTTTGTAAGCATTTTAAGATCTACAAAGGTAAAGTGTTGAGTGGAATTACTATTTTTATTATTAATCCAAAGCCAAGCAGCAACTTTTTCAAAAAAATATTTCATAGTTGCTAGGTGACAACAATGTAGTCTCCTACAATGTCATTTACAAAATGCAAGCTCTCACAAGCAAAGAAATGAGAAGTTAAGGATATCATAAATCTTGCTCTGCCTGCTTAAGAAGCAAGAATATTATTCATAGGTACAAAGAAATGCATATTTCACTGTGAAACAATCTTAAGTTTGATCTGTGGATTTGTTTTTAAATGTATGACTCTTTATGATGTCTGATTTTCCTGATTGATCCTAAGTTTCTCCACTGGTAACATCCATTTTTCCATTCTTATTTCTAGATAACCAGATTAAGATGTGCTTTAGCAAAAGGAGTAATCATCTGACCTATTCAGTTATAAATGCCTCTGGATTTGTTTTTAAGCTACATGCAAAGACTTATGCATACTGTCTACTTTAGACCAGACCAGACAACTAACGGTGGTCCTAATGGAGGTCCTTGTCTAAACTCAATTAGCTATAGAAAAAAGTTATGTTTCTACCATAGGTCCTTTGAGTTGCCGCTAAATTAGATGCCTAAAATGCCCTGAACTGGATAGTGAAGATACATCACTAGTTTTACCTAAATATATCACTCTTTACTACTGCTGTGTTCACTTTATATGTGGAGATTACAGTTGGAAAAAAATGCATCCATTAAACTCTGAGTTAAGATCCCTGTGCATTAGACTCTCCTTTGTATTTACAAACCCTAGTAAATACATATTTTATTTTAAGCAAGTCCATAAATGTTTGGAGGACAAGGACCTTCAGGCTCATTTAATGAACAGTGCAATATTTATAAGTACAGTAAATCTGTCATTCATTGGTTTTTCTGTTTTAGAATCTGCAAAATATCTGGCATGTGAGGACGTTCTTGTTACTTAACAACATTAACTATTCTTTTAAACAGAAAATTGAAACAATCAGAATAAGTTTGTTGATAACTGAGTATTTAGATTGCTGAGAAATTAAGAAAGAAGAGTCATTGATAGTTACGTTAAAGAAATCTGCAGAGGTCCAAGCTATGAAACAACATTTTTTATCTTCTAGTCACTTTGAGGAAAGATTTTATCA